TGGTCCCCGAGTGTCCCCAACCCATTGATCCCAGTGTCCCCCCACCTGTCTCCCCTCCAGCTGTGGTGGACCCCGATGCCACCTTGGGGTTTCTCCCGGTGTCCTCTGGTGTCCTCCCAGTGCCCCGTCCCCGGGTGTCCTCACACTGTCCCTTTCCCATGGGTGCCCTATATCCCGGTGTCCCCATGGCTCGCGCGGCTGGCCTCCACGTCCCCGTGGTGGCTCCATCAAGTGGCTGCCCTGTCCCATGGTGTCCCCATCTCAGGATGTCCCCATCCCATGGTGTCCCTGTCCTGTGGTGTCCTCGTGGTGTCTCAAAGGGTGTCCCTGTCCCATGGTATCTCCAAAGTGTCCCCATCCCATGGGTGCCCCATTCTGGGATGTCCCCAGGGTGTCCCCATCCCACGAGTGCCCCATCCCATGGTGTCTCCATCATGTCTTGAGGGATTCCCTGTCCCTTGGTGTTCCCAGAGTGTCCCCCTTCCATGGGTGCCCCGTCCCATGGTGTCCCCATCCCTTGGTGTCCACAGGATGTCCCCATCCCCTGAATTCCCTGTCCCGTGATGTCACCATCCTATGAGTCTTCTGTCCCCATGGTGTCTCAAGGGTTGTCCCCATCCCATGGACACCCCATCCTGTGGTGCCCCAAAGTGTCCCCACGGTGGCACCCGCTGATGGGACGGTGGCACCCGCTGATGGGACTGTGTCCCCACAGAAATCCCCTCGGTGACACCACGCTTGGCCACCCGCAACCAGACATCCTTCCGTGTGACGTGGCCCCGCCCCTCCGTGCCGGTGGATGGCTACCAGGTGGCCCTCATCCCCCTGGTGAGCCTGGGACGGGCACAGGGGTGGGGACAGGTTCCCGGTTCCATGGTGACCTCAGCGTGGTGGCCCCAACGTGACCTTCATCGCTAGGATGAGGTGGCATCCACGGCTGCCTGCTGCTGCCCCACTGGGGGACACTGGGGGGGTGTCCCTACAGTGTCCCCAACATGTCCCCAGTGTGCTCTTGTCCCCAGAGCCACCTCTTGCTGCCTAAGTCGGGGATGGGGACATCTTCCCAGCGTGTCCCTTGCCCCCGGGATGTGCCATGATGGTGTCATCCACCTGCTGCTTGGCTTGGAGGCAGGGATGTGTCCCCACCATGGTGTCCCCAGTGTCCCTAACATGCCCCCTACACCCAGTATGTCCCCAGGGTGTCCTCAGCATGTCCCCCAGCCCCAGGACAAGCCGTTGGCTGTAGCCACCTGGCTCAGGGATGAGGAAGTGTCCCTCGTGTGTCCCTCCTTTGTTGTCCCCAAGGCATCCCCATCATGTCCCCAGCATGTGCCTATCATGTCCCAGCATGTCCCCGTCATATCCCCAACATGTCCCCAGCATGTCCCCGTCATGTCCCCAGCATATCCCCATCATGTCTCCAACATGTCCTCAGCATGTCCCCAGTGTATCCCCATCGTGTCCCCAACATGTCCCCAGCATGTCCCCAACATGTCCTCATCGTGTCCCCATCATGTCTCCATCATATCCCCATCATGTCCCCATCATGTCCCCAGCATATCCCCATCGTGTCCCCAACATGTCCCTGTCATGTCCCCATCGTGTCCCCGGCGTGTTCCCAACATGTCCCCAACATGTCCCCAGCGTGTCCCCAGCATGTCCCCAGCATAGCCCCATCGTGTCCCCATCATGTCCCCATCGCATCCCCAGCATGTCCCTGTCATGTCCCCGTCATGTCCCCAACATGTCCTCATGTTCCCATCATGTCTCCATCATGCCATCCGTCCTACACCATTCTATGATTCTATGGCCAGGTTGGATGGAGCCTTGAGTAGCCTGGTCTAGTTGAGAGGCGTCCCTGCCATGGCAGGGAGGTGGGATTAGATGATCTCGGAGGTCCCTCCCAGCCTGTGCCATTCTATGATTCTATGGCCAGGTTGGATGGAGCCTTGAGTAGCCTGGTCTAGTTGAGAGGCGTCCCTGCCATGGCAGGGAGGTGGGATTAGATGATCTCGGAGGTCCCTCCCAGCCTGTGCCATTCTATGATTCTATGGCCAGGTTGGATGGAGCCTTGAGTAGCCTGGTCTAGTTGAGAGGCGTCCCTGCCATGGCAGGGAGGTGGGATTAGATGATCTCGGAGGTCCCTCCCAGCCTGTGCCATTCTATGATTCTATGGCCAGGTTGGATGGAGCCTTGAGTAGCCTGGTCTAGTTGAGAGGCGTCCCTGCCATGGCAGGGAGGTGGGATTAGATGATCTCGGAGGTCCCTCCCAGCCTGTGCCATTCTATGATTCTATGTCCCCATCATGTCCCCAACATGTCCCCATCATGTCTCCAGCATGTCCCCAACATGTCCCCAGCGTGTCCCCAATATGTCCCCAGCATGTGCCCAACATGTCCCCAGCATATCCCCAACATGTCCCCCACACGTCCCCAGCGTGTCCCCAGCACGTCCCCCACGTCCCCAACATGTCCCCAGTGAATCCCCATCGTGTCCCCAACATGTCCCCAACATGTCCCCAGCGTGTCCCCAGCGTATCCCCAACATGTCCCCAGCGTGTGCCCATCGTGTGCCCAACCCTAGGAGAAGCCCTTGCCTGTGGCCACCTGCCTGCTGCCCGGCTCAGGGGCAGGTCCCACCATGGTGTCACCAGCATGTCCTTGGCCCTTGTCCCCAGGACGAGCCGGCGGCG